GGCAGCAGCCGATCATTTATGCAGTTAAGACAGGTTCTCATCACATCCTTCTCCCTATTCACAGACACTGCATTGGTATGTCTCAGGGTAAAATATCCGAATCAGTCAACCTTTGGACGTTTTATTCGAAACAAGCACCATTGTTCCTTTCGAGCACAAACTTATCATTGGTATCTTGTAGTACTTGTTAGATGGTGTTAGAAATCTTTTTTTCCTTTCCTTGAAAGTACAGATTCGACAGAAAGGAGCTACGACACCCGTTTTTGTTTACTGAAGGAACTAGTTCCTCGTAAACTCGAACAAAATTCACACCACTTAAATATTTGCAGTAGCTCGTATTTTGAACTAACATAATTGGTACTTGTCGACATATATCATTGCAGGGCTTCTCGTTCGTCGCATCGAGCATTATCGAACCGCCGCCGCGGGGCATCGTACCTGATCTCAACAGGAACCGTGGTCCTCCTAGAGGGTAAGTGGTTCCCTTTGCGCATTCTTACCTTGCTACGTTTTTTTCGGCATTTCAGCCCAAGTAACTTTGCTAACTATTCAGCTACTGCCCGAAACATCCGGATTTCAAATGATGTTTTCATTAGCCTTCGGTAGTTAAAGTCACTGTCCTCAGCGAACAAAGCAAGATTAGTTGTGCCGCTGGGTTGTGGTCAGTTTAGTTCAACGCGAGTGTCTTGTTGGTTGGCAGAACCAAAGAATATAAACGGATTTCCCAGTAACCCTGACCAGTGCTGCTTGATCGCTGCACCACGACATTTTGCTTGAAGCTCCAGGTTTGCACATTGAATAAATCGTTGAAGATGCACGTACAAGATTACATTAGTCATATATTGTAGTTCCTATGCAGTTGTAAATCAAATTACTAGCATAGTGCACTTGCGTCACCGGTCGCAGATCATCCACTGCGTACTCGCGTATTTGACACGGCAGTTTCTTGTCTGGTCACGCTTACCTACTCGATTACTGCTCATTCTTCACGCGTGCCTCTCGTTATTGTAATGATGGTTGAGTAATATGCTCCTTGAAGAAATTATATGGACATATTTTCTATCCATGCGCATTTCTTCTCTCCATATCCCGCAGTCAAAGCCCCGTTTGTCGCCCGTGTGAAAGAAGAATAAACAAAGCTATTGTCGTGAAAACACCTTATTTCTCGAATCGTGTCTCAAAACATATTATTGCTCGAATAGGATGTTGAAATTCCGACCTTTGTGTGTGAATTATATCTTAGGTGTTGATATCTTCGACATTGATATTTGAAGCGTACCTCAACACCTATCCCCGCCCGCACAACGAATGGTGCGGAAAGCCCGATAACCGTCTTCCATATTTCCGCTTTTCACAAAGCCAACATCGCTCTCTAAGCCGAAACAGGGGCAAATTATCAAACATGTCTATAATGGCGTCTAGCTTTCTAGAATCGGGAAAACGTCACAGAGGCCGCCAGCTCCTGTTTCGCATTACCAGAAGTCGACCCCGCACACAAGCTAGAAACAACCGCTTTTTGTGAAGTGTTGAGACTGAGACACACCCTAATATGGACTTATCCCGTGATTGTGGCTTCGAGTTAAAGTACTAAACACCGTCGTAATAATGCTCACGCGCTTGAACTTATTACT